TCGAGGACCAGCCGCAGTGCTCTTGCCTCTGGCACCCAGAATGCCGCAGCCTGCCTTTCCAGCTCTCCAGAGTTCTGCTCCATTCCCTAGTGAGTCGGTGTGGTTTTGCTGTTCCCCTACGTTCATCCTGTGCTCCGAACTAGTGTGTCTGCTGCCAGGCTGCTTCTACCTGCAAGGTGGAAGCACCCAGCCTCCACCCAGACGCCCTCCTGTCCTCAGCCCCATCCTTTCTTCATCCAGGCGCACTACGCTCAGGTGCATACCACCACGCCGGGGATGCTAGCGCACGTTTCTCCCATCTCAACTTTTGTGTGGGTCGTGCTCTGTCACGCACTGGCCCCCTCTCCAACTGAACTCAGCGCTTGATTATATCAGACTGTGAAGCTGTTCTTTGGTGATTATTCCACATGTGTACATTTGTCCCAATCTAGATGATAAAGCCTCCACGTAAGAGGAACCACATCTTGTTTTCCTTTCATTGTATTCTAAAAGGTTTAAAACAAGAGAAAAGGAAAGAAAGGCTATTTGTTGAATACCTGCTATGGGATAAAGTGCTTTCTTAAGCATGACTTCATTTAACATTCACAACAATCCTGGGAAGATATTTTTGCATATCAGAGGTGTGAAACAACTTTCCCCCCAGGAAATTCCCCAAATTCAAATTCTGACCTGCCTCAGTGTGGTGCCAGAGAGCTTCCTAGATACCTGCCTGACCCGTTGCCCTGAAGGCCTTTAGTCCCAGGCTGGCAGAGACCGTGAGCTCCTACTATGAGTGATTAATTCAGGAAAAATGAGAACGTGCCTTCTTTGCCCAGAAAGCTGATGTTTCAGGACTCTCAAAGTATTTACGGTGTGCTTTTATTTTCTTTCAGGTATTTAAAAACCTTTTTATTTTGAGATAATTTTAGACTTCCTGGGAAATTGCGAAAATAGTACAGGGGCTTTCCATATACCCTTTATCAAGCTTTCCCTAATGTTAAAATCTTTCGTAAATATAGTATAATTATGAAAACTAATAAGTGAACATTGGCACAATACTATTAAATAAACTACAGACGATATTAGGATTTTCCCAGTTGTTCTACTGTCTTTTTCTGCCCCAGAATCCAGTCCAAGATGCACACATCATCATTAGCATCACGTCTCCTTCCTCTCCTCTGCTCTGTGGCAGCCCCTCAGTCTTTCCTTGTTTATCACGACTCGACAGTTTTGACGAATGCTGATCAGGTACTTTGTACACTGTCCCTCAATTTGGGTTTGTCTGATACTCTCTCGTGATTAGACTAGAGTTATGGATTCTGGGAAGAATACCACAGAGGTGCTGTGCCCTTCCGGTGGATCATATCGGGGTACATGATATCATAATGACATCACTAGTGATGTTAGCCTGGGTCACTTCACAGAGGTGGTATCTCTCCTGGAAAATGACCGTTTTTACCTTTGAAACTAATAAATATTTATTTTGAGGAAGATAGTCTGAGATTATGGAAATACCTAGTTTTTCCCTAAATTTTCACTCACTAATTTTAACATTTATCAGTGGATGTGCCTCCAACAGGTACTACTGTGGTGTTCTAATGGTGATTTTCTATTTCTCCCATCCCTCTACATTTATTTTTAAAATTTTTTTGTGAGGAAGATTGGCCCTGAGCTAACATCTGTTGACAATCTTCCCCTTTTGCTTGAGGAAGACTGTCGCGGAGCTAACATCTGTGCCAGTCTTCCTCTATTTTGTGTAGGATGCATGGCTTGATGAGTGGTGCTATGTCCATACCTGGGATCCAAACCTGCAAACCCTGGGCCACCAAAGTGGAGCGCACGAACTTAACCACTATGCCATCGGGCTGGTCCCCTTCTACATTTATTAATTAGAATTCTTCTGTAAGGGAGTGTTGTCCCTTCTCTCCCGTCTATTTATTATTCATTTATTTATTCGCTGAGTCATTTCTGTATCTCACTATGGACTCAGGGTAATTTTTGGGTTATAATCCAGTACCGTTGCCGTGATTTTGTTGCTCAAGTTCTTCCAGCTTTAACCGTTGGGAGCTCTTCCAGGTTGGCTCTGGTGCCTTTTAACACGCCCTTATCTTCTTCTTTTTTAATCACTCTTTTACTTCCTGCCATTGTGAGATGCTCCAAGTTCATCTTGTATTTTCCCTGCTCCAGCCCTGGAATCAGCCACTTCTCCAAGGAGCCCTGCTTCCTTTCATTGGAGCGTGGTGTTAGAAACCAAGATCAGGTGCTAGGTGCTCAGTGCCGCTGGGTTCCTACGACTTTCAGGCTCTCTCGGGAGCCAGGCTGAGCCAGGACACACGTGTGTGTATACTAATCCATGCAAACACGTACATCCATATGTCTATCTATCTATCTATCTATCTATCATCCATCTGTCTATCATTTATCTCTATCATCGATCATTTATATCTGTCTATCATTTATATCTATTATCTGTCTATCTATCATCTCTCATCCATCTGTCTATCACTTATCTCTATCTATCTAAAATAACCATGAGTCTTGATACCAAAGCCAAAGACTGGACAATAAAAGAACAATGAGACAATGAAGAGTCAGTGTTTAATGGGCACAAAGCTTCAGTCTGGGATGATGAAAAAGTTCTGGAGATGGATAGCGGTGATGGTTGCACAACAGTGTGAATATGCTTAATGCTGCTACTTTGTGCACTTAAAATGGTAACTTTTTATGTTATGTATATTTTACCACAATAACAATAATAATCATAAATTCACACTGCTACCTCCCACTCCCATCAAGCACCACAGGGTTCAGTCCAGCCTCCCTCTTGCCTTATTTGTAACTTATTTCTCTAGCAATAAGAAACTTGGTTCTCATTACCTGCGATATATTTTCTTCTGTGTTCAACACTGGCATACACATCAAGTAGTTCCATAATTACTAACCCAACACTCCCGTGAGGAACAAATTACCAGCTAGAGTCCAATGTTTACGTACGTTCTTTCTGTCTTTAGCCTTGTAGTATCCAGACAAAGACTGTTTTCCAAAGTTCCTTAGCTCAGTTCCTTCCTTCCTCACCCTTTCAATGTGGTTATGTCATTCCTTTGTAATACCCTTGGATCCCTTTGTCACAAGTGCCTGCTTGACGGCCAATGAGATAATGCATGTGAAGGGCCTAATGCACTACCTGGCGTGGAGCAGGGTCTTAGGAAATACGAGCTGACCCTGAATGGGCGGCGATGATGAGTGCTGTCCATCAGCTTCATTACTCCAGCCCTATGAAACGTCAAAAGAGCTTTGATCAGCTTTCAGGGCCATGCTTGTCGGTGACTCAGAACTAAGGTAACTGGCCCACAAAAGTCAGGTCAGAAGTGCTGCCCTCATTAGCATCAGGCTCGAGACAGCTGAGCTACTTCCCGGAGGACAATGAATCTACGGGTTTAAATGATGAGTAACTGTGAAGGGTGTGAATCGTGGAAAGGACGGAGGATTTCAGGGGTGTAAAACTATGCAGAAACCCAACAAAATCAGAGCCTAATCCCTCTTCTCGTCTCTCAAAACAACCCCTATTCCTCCACTCATTTGCTCTTTCCTGTCAGTCACTTCTTGATTCCTGGAGTGGATTCTGACGCTGAGACTCACCAGTGGCAAGTGCAGCTTGCTTTAGGCCGACTTGAGATTCACTTAGGATTTTTGTTTGCAGAAAGCAGCCCTAGATAACTTAAGCAGAGGAGGAATGTGTCGGACGATATGAAGCAGCTCACAGAATTGGAGAGAAAGCTTCTGGACTCTGTTTCGGAACAAAAGGGACCGTGGAAGCTCTGGGAAGCTCGGTAGCAGGGACGGAACGTCACTGTGTCCAGGCCATGGCCGCCAGGATGAATCAATTCCAGAAACGTCCCTTTGTATCTCTCTACTGAAGACTCAGTTTCTGGGAGTGTTCCATTGGTCTAGCCTGGGTCACATGCCCACCCCTGGGTTGTGGGAAGGCAGAGCACCCAGAATAGAAATCCATTCATGGGGAGAGGGTGCTAAATTGCAAATAGCCGGTGCCTGCTATTCTCTGTGATGTGCTCATCTTCCTCCTATTTATTGTGAGTTCTAAGTTAATTTATCAATAAAAACATACAGCAATGGACTCTCTTTCCCCACATTCCTTACGTGGATCCCCTTAAATCCTATGTAGTTAACCCCTCATTGCCTGGCAGGTGTGAGTTAGATGGCGCCGCATGGCTGGCTTTGCTGTCGTCTGAGTGGCGCTCTCAGTGGCACGCTGAAGGTTCCATCCTCCAGGGTGGTGGGAAGCGTGTGGTCAGGGCGGCTCCCTCGGACATCTGTCCAGTGTCTCTGAGGCAGCCCTTTACCTCGGGGCTTTCGTGTTGGTTTGAAGCCCTGGGGTTTCTCCAATTTCATATTTTATGAAATCCTCAAATAAAAGGTTGGGTGTGAAAGTCAATTTAATATAACATCAAGCTTAAGAGCATGAAAGTTTGGAATTAGAAAGACTGGCATTCAAGTCCTGATGTGGCCACTCACTGGCTGCGTGTTCTCTGATGTTATCAAGCTTCCCAAGGGCTCAGCGCCCTCGTCTGTAAAATGCAGAGAGGGTCTGGCAGTTAAAGGCACAAGCGATACGATCAGATACTCAGACTGATTCCCTGGTCCACACTCAACAGCTCCTATGACCACGGGAAGGTTACGTAATGTCTCTAAATTCTTTCTTTCTCTGTAAAATAGGGTAACGGCAGTGCCTCCCTCCAAGGCTTGATCTGAGAACTAAATGAAATAGCTGCATAAGTTGCCAATGTTGTTATCATAGAATTTTTTTGAGGATTAAATTCACGTACGTGAGTGCTTCAGCATAGGGCCTGCCCTGCTACGGCACGCCCTTAATACACGGTGGCCGTTGACTCTGTGTGGGGTACTGGCTGTTTGTGAATGATCTGTGCTTCCTTCCTTTTGTGTGGGTGGCTGCGTCCCTGTGTATGCACATATATTTTAAGCAAATTGCCTTGTATCTGGTGAGAGACTTGCTGTTGCTGTTATTTTCTCCAGAGAATTCTAAGAGATTACAAAGACCTGAGGAGACTTTTTGAAAAAATGTGCATAAACTGATTGGATTCAACAATCTAACTTCCTCTGGGGCTACTGAAATGGTGAGCTTTGTCCTTAATTGCAAGATTCTATTTGCGGAGCTCTAAAGGTAGAGCTGAAAATGTATTCTAATAATTTAGGTGAAGAAAGCAACAGACAGTTCTTTTTTAAAAAGCTTGAATTCTTTGTCCCTAGTTTCCCAGAGATTTGCTGAATTCCTCACTTCACGTCGTGGTGCAGACGGAAACGTTTGACTGTGTCCTGATGTTAGGGGCGGCCCGCAGAGCCTGTGGACATGATTTTGAAGCTTAACCTTTCATTGGCTTCTGCATCTGGAGTGTTTCTCTTTTTACAACCTGGATTTCATATCTTCGTCATGAGTGCTACCATTTGGCTTTTTAGTTCCTTCTGAATTCTTGGACACAGCCCTTCTGTCCTCATGATTTGTCACTGTGTGTTTCTCTAGAGACTGCCCCACCTCTTCCCTGGAGGCTTCCAGCTCTGTCATGGCCCTCCAGTGACTTCCTGTTGACAGTGTCCTTGGGATGGAATCACTCCATCAACTCCTCTAAAGGACAGGTGGGTTTGAAGAACTAATTTAATGTCTCAGTAACCGCATCACTCCTTCGGTGGGCCTCAGGCTCGTGGCTTCTCTGACTTCCAGACACCCCTGCCCTGGCAGGGCGCTGCTTCTTAGCTGTTTGTTGGTGCCCTTTGAGCTCCCAGTGTGGGCCTCTGCGGCCTGCAGCTCAGTTCAATAACTGTACATCTTCTGTGAGATTGGCCTTTGTAATTCTTCAAAATGACTTCTCTGGGACTCCTCAGAGGCCTCCTCGTCTGACAATGCCCCATGATTCAGCCTTCAGTCTCTTCTGTAATTCCTCTCTCCCTAGTAGCACATACACATTTCACATTTTTGACAAAGTCTTGGTTTTCTGGGGATTTAACTATTTTTGAAGGGGATTTAACTGTTACTTTCAAATTTTCCCTTTATTTAATTGTTCATTGTCTATTCCCTTAATTTCCAAGTTCTACATAGGAGAATTCTTCCACTAAAATTCTACAAATTTTGCAAAATAAGCCCAATGTTAGACTTCTATCCCAAATCTCTCTTAATAGTAAACTGTCTGTGAGCTTTAGGAAACATTGTGTTGTGGGGAAAAGTTGTTGCATTCATCAAAATGTTAATAACTTTAGTTTTGCTCATGAATTATTTGGCAGTTTAATAACTTCTTGAAATCAATTCCTTTTAGTTTCAAAACCCCATGGTTCTTCTGCTAATCTGTAGCAACACTTGGCTACCCAAACGACTGGAGGCATAAACCGACCTGGAGACTTGGGAATCGGGACAATGAGGAGTCTGCCCTGTTGCCTTTGGAAATCCTCTTCTGAACTTCTGCATGAGAGAGCAGCGATATTTCATTTCTGGGGGTAACTGAGGTGGGATCTGGGGACCTAACGTAAAAGCCAAGGTGCCTCGAACAACGTATGAGGGGGGCACAGGGCTCCACTGTTCAAAAGAATGCTTATTTTTTCCACGCAGAGAAAAAGTATTTATTGAGCACCTACTGTGTACCCAGCATTGTGCTTGGTGATACAGAGGCATAATCAAATTTAAGACCTGGCTTCTGCTAGCTTCAGAGCAGTATGTTGGAAAGAGAACAGGTTTTGGGAATGGCATAGGTATCAATTAGAAAATGATGCACATCTGCGCAACCACCATCGCGGTAACGGAGTGCAGTTGGAGTTTAGAAGAGTGAGAGAGGAAGGTTGGAATTGTTGGGGAAGTCTTCCTGGGGGAAGTGAGATTTGAGTGGGTGTCTGAGGATGGAGGTTGTAGATGATGATGTCTAAAAGCGTTACCTTTATACACAGGACACCTGGGTGTGACTCACATGCCTCATCCCAGAGACTGTGTCACACTGGGGAAGTCATCTCGTCCTTCTGAGCTTCAGTTTCCTAATCTGTAAAATAGGGAAAATGCATCACAGGGTTGTGAAGATTAAATATGATACCATGGTAATTGACTGAGGTGCCCAGCTATTTCAATGTGAGAAAAGAAAGGTTTTTTGACCAATGGTGCTGGAGCCACTGGATATCCACGTGGGTGGAAAAATGGGCCTCGGCCCCTACACCAGTCCACATACAAAAGTTAATTTGAGGTAGATTACAGATATAATATATAAAACCAGAGCCATGACTCTTCTAAAAGAAAGCAGAGGAGAATATCTTAGTCATCTTGGGGTAGACAAAGATTTCTTTGTCAGGACATGGAAAGCACTAACCATAAAAGATAAAATCGATAAATTGGACTACTTCAGAATTAAAAACCTCTGCTCATCAAAAGATACTGTTAAGAAAATAAAAAGGCAAGACACAGATTGGGAGAAAATATTTGTAATACATATAGCAGAAAAGGACTTACATCCAGAAAATACCAAGAACTCTTACAACTCAACAAGAAGACAAACTCACTGAAAACATGGACAAAAGATTTGAACAGAAAACTCACGAAAGAAGATATATGAGTGGACAATAAATATACGAAAAGATATTCGATGTCTTTATTTATCAGGAAAAGGCAAATTAACACCAGAATGAGATAGCAGTAGATATCCATTAAAATGACTAAAATGAAAACAACTGATAATACCAAGCTGTAGAACAACAGGAACCCTTATACACTGCTGACAGGAATTTAAATGGTACAACCACTCTGGGGAACTCTTAGCCAATTTCTTACAAAGTTAAACATACATCTACCCCGCGAGTCAGCAATTAAATTTATAGATATTTATCCAAGAGATATGGAAACCTATGTCCACAAAAAGGCTTGCACAAGAACGTTGACAGCAGTCTCATTCATAAGAGCCAGAAACTAGAAACGACCTACGTGTCCAACAATAGGTGGAAAGATAGGCAAACTATGGTATATACACAGAACTGAACGTTACTTGGCAATAAAAAGAACAAATTACTGATACATAACAACATTGGTGAAACTCATTATGCTGAGTAAAAGAAATCAGACACAAGAGAACACACAGCATGACTTCATTTATGCTAAATTCTAGAAACGAGATGAATCTATGGTGATAGAAATCAAACAATGGTTGTCTTCGTGGGAGGGAACGGACTAGAAAGTGGCACGAAGGAATGTTGTGGATGATGCACAAGAGCTATATCTTCACTAGACTGGTGGTTACACAAGTGTACATGCTTATCAAATGCATTGATCTGAATACTGAGGACCTGTGCATTTTACAGTATGTAAATTATTCCTAAATAAATAGGACAGCCTGTTCAAGTGCGCAGCACACGGTAACTTCTCTGGAATGGTGTCTATGGGTATTACAGGCATGGACAACAATACCAGGGGTTTTAGTCTTGATCTCCTGCCCTAGTAAGTCAGCGGCTCTGCCAGCCATCTCCTCCGCCGAGCAGAGTCCTGTGGGACTCACGTGGAACTCTGGGCAGATGTTGCGATGTTCTTGTTTTCACTCACAGTGATGCACCTGAATTCTTAACTCACACATATTCTCTTTCTCCGCTCACCCCCTTCTCTCTCTCTCTAACAGACATACAATTGTGGACATTCCTTCCTTCCTCCCTCCCTCCATTCCTCCTTCCCTCACTTCTTTCCTTCCATCCTATTAACTACCATCTTTATCCCACCTCATTCCAAAGCCAATATAATGTGGCTCATAAAAATACATGTCAGTCACTGGATAAAATGGTGTAGGGAATAAATACAAACCCAAAGCCCCAAGGAAATAGACACGACTTGGTCCTGAACCCTTGCTAGAGGCAGACCACAGATTTGGCTCTGAGCTTCCTAGCCACAGCAGCAGAAAGGGAAACATGATTAGTTACTAAACAGCCCACAGATCAGATTCACTTGCTTGCAAAGGAGCATCTTGAGCTGATCTCTGTTATCCAGAGCCCCAGGTTTCAAATTTGTTTGTCTGGGTGGTGGATTAGTGGTGAGGAGAGAAGAAACCAGAGACTTTTTTTGCTCTTGGCTCTGTTCTCCCGGCAGGGAGACACCGAGCGCTTCCTTCTGGGAGGGAGTGGGGCTGGGGCTCTCCCTGTAGTGGCGATGACATTATTTGTGTGCTGAGTCTCTGTTGTCATCCTCTGTGGGATCAGCCTGCCCCTCTGCACAGTTCATCTGCCATCTCAGTTTCGATGTTGACACCTTTTCCTGAATTATATTCTGGCAAGACAAGTTTGTTGCTGAATGGCCCATCCCAGCAGAGGTCTCTTTCATTCATCTTGGCTGTTTTTCTGTGATTATGGTAGACTTACTTTTCTCCTTCCCCTTGGGGGGTTATTTTAGACTTTACAACCACCTCTCCGGGTTTTGGCTGCAGCTATCAAGTGCATGGATGCAGGCATATTTTAGATGGGGAGCCCTCTCCCACTGACCCTTTCAAGAATGAGTTTCCTAAATGCAGGCAGGCACTGGTTTCGCAATATATTGCAGACCCATCTTCCTCTTGTCTTAAAGAGCTACTTCTGCTAAGAATCTGCCATTTGGTAGCTGGAAATGAGATTTTCAGACTGCTCACTGGAATTAAATCTTGACTTCCCAGAAAGGGGGCTGGTTGTAGTGTCAAGTACACCAGTTCGGGTGTTGGGGGACGCAGATTCCAGGTTTATATCTGGGGCTGACCCGCAGTGTGATGTTAGGCAAGAAGCAGACCTCCCTGGGCCTGCCCTCCTCAAAGTGCCGTGGAGGGGATCCCTCGGAGGGTTGCTGTGAAGGGCAAATAGGAGGTAACACTGGAAAAGGCTGTGAAAACCTGAGTGTTTTAAATTCTAGGTCAGTAAGGGAGACGAAAAGGAGGAAACGCTTTCGCTAGAACTGAATTTGCAGGCTGTATCAGGGCCTTGGTAGGGGGACAAAAGAACTAGGAAACATATCTCCTGTGCTGAAGCGTTTTAGACGGAGTTTGAAGGATACATGTAAAATGCAGACCATTTACTCTTGAAACTCATCTGAAGTCTTCCTTTTTTTTTCTGTCTGATGATTTTGGGACTAGACTTCTTTCTTTAATTTTTCTTTCTCTAAATACTTAACTTCTTCCTCCTAACGCTGGTATCTAGGCCTTACAGAAACATCTCTCACCTCCCTTGAGTGGTAAGTTTCAGGTGAGGAGTTTCATAACTTATCATGTTTCTCTTTTTGCTTTGGCTTCCAGTAACCCCAGAGCTACACGTGCTTCTTAGTCTAAATAACCATGATGCCCAAGGTGCTTCAGAGAATTCTCAGGTGGCTGTGCCTCCCACCTGCCCCCAGTTCCTTCATTTGGAGCCATTGACTGCTACAGCTGTGCAGGTTTTGGGTCTGTTCTTTCTCAGCAGCTCAGAATGGTCTGCTTAAACAGATTTCCTGGTTGCCGTTTGTAGACATATACATGTAGAGTCAATGCTTGGCACTCAGACCAGTACTTAAACTTTAACATGCTTGTGAATCCCCTGGGGATCTTGTTAAAATGCAGATTCTGATTCATCATTTGTGGGATGGGGCCTGAGAGTTTGTATTTCTCATAAGTTCCCAGGTGATGTTGATACTGCTGGTCTGTGGCCCGTGCTTGGAGTAGTGAAGACTTAGAAGTCATTCAACCCATCTGTTGAATGGATGAATCTGACTTGTTCCTGAGTGATACTTTCTAATTTCAGAACTGACTGTATCGCTTGACTCGTCTTCTCTTAAGAATCCTAATTCTTCCTAGATTCTAATTTCTAACTATCGGTTGAGCATCTTCTGCTAGAAATTTTTTCTCTCTTTCACCTCATGATGAGATTTCTCCTTTCTTTCCTTCCCTCCTGACCCACGTCACACTTTGAAGTCCCTTCCTAAAGAGAATATGTCGTGAGCTGGAGTGTTGTTGGATAAGACTCCAGTCTCTAGTCTAAGGAGTGGACTAGCTTGTATTTTTCCATAGAACTAGGGGTCCTGCTGGGCCTTGCGCCTAGTGGTTGCTTCTTAGGTGTTTGTTGATTGATTGACTGGCCTGTGATTCTAAATATTTTCGATAACTGAGAAGAGACTGGGAAATTGATAAAAATTGACTACCCTTTATCAACCTCTCCCTGCTCACAGAAGCAGAAGCTAATGCATGTGGCAATGACTTAATCCCTGTGAAGATTAAGGCCTTAACCTGCAAGAGACCAAGGGATGAGGGTGGGTATTGGTGTCTAAGCCCTGGTGCCTCTGGGTCAGGCCTTCACACAGTTTCTGCAACACTGGTTCTCCACACGTGAGGCCACAGAGACCAAAGGTATTCACAACCCAGTGGCCGGAAAATGCTGCAAAGTGTGCTGTGGGGGCTGCATGTGCGAAGCCATTAGTACCGCCTCCTTGCCACATGCTCTCTGCCACGGCCCTTTTCCACTGTCTTGATTCTCCATGCACTTTCCTCCCTGCTTCGATCAGGGATGCGAGGTGCAATTAGCCAGGATTCCTTACTGCTCACATGATATGTGATTTAGTAATACAAGATAATACTTAACAGTGATATCTTAGAACTTTTACATCTGCATAAATGGACCTCCTTCTATCGAGGTCTTCTCCTTGGCCTAAGACTATAGTTGCCCCAGTAAAGGAAAGGTTCTATTTATGTTGCAAAACATCTGTCGTTGGGGGGGTACCAAAACCAACTTATGAGTCATGCTTAAAGCATCCACATTTGCTAATAATATTTTTAAAAAAATAAATTTGAGTAAATTCAGGGGTTTCTGTATGACAATTCCATTCCCGTTGACTTGCGTTTGGTGTGATTCATGAGTGATTGGGAGAGAAAGGTTTTGTTACAATTAGTGAGTGGCAACTTGCACGTACATCAGTTGTCAAATGACATCTCTTCTGCTGTCTTGAAAAATTCAGCTAAAGTCCCAAAGCCAATAAAGATTGGATGACAAGTTCCTGCTAGACATGTCCCTGTGGCACCTGCCACACTAGCCCAGTGATCTTCAGCCCAGAATGGTCAACCTATAAGAAGAGATGCCCAGAAATTCCAGGGGGTCATCAAGGGCAGGAGTCGCATGCCTGGGGAGAGGGCTCTGGCTCTTCCTTCCAAGCCCGGGGTGGGGCTTCCCCAGGGCGCCAGCACTGAATTGCAAAAGCATCCATCAGGGAGCACCTTGGTCCCACTTAGCCCCAGGCCCCTTTTCCCTGCTCCTACCTACCAGGGAAGAGAGCTGAGTGGAGGAGGAGAAGGCCTGAAAGGGCCGTGGAATACAGACCTCTCTCCACCCGCTGTGGGTCAGGACTAAGCTAGAGGAGAAGGGGTCCCGTTGTGGAGGGAGAGGAGGCTGAGCGCTGAGTTGCGCAGGTTGGTACTTTGACCGCGACTGGACCAGGCCCGAGAGTGAGTCTGGATTACCAAAATGAGCCTTGTTCTTAGAATCTGCAGTGACTGGAAAGTTATGGGATCTGTCAAGTGTGGTCAAGTGTAGAGAGGGGAGCTCTGACAGGGCAGGTCTGAAGGCAGTGGTTAGAGGAAAACAAAGCTGTTTCCTGTTTGAACCCTGCTCGATTCAGACTGTTCAATGAGCTGGTTTCCCACATCAGCCTGGGTGCACCGTGGGAGTGTGTTCTGTCAGTGACTGCCATCTGTCCTGGGCGTCTCAGGGGAGAAAGGGTAGAGAAACTTTGGCTAGACTCTCTTTATATCTCAGCCTCCAGAACTTGCATCCTGGTGTTCAAGGGGTGGTCTGAGCAGCAGTCGGAGGCCCCTGTCCCTGGCTACGCCCCTTTTGACATCTGTCTCTTTGGATTAACACTTTTTTTTACCTTTAGGAAGTTTTTAACTGAGATGTAAATATTTACAGGAGGGCAGCGCCTGAGGCCATATCAGTCAGTGACTTTGGGGCATCGTCTGATGGAATCAAGTCCCCATCCCTGCTCAGAAACCTTCAGTGGCTCCCTAGTGCCTGTGTAATTAAATCTGAACAGTTTAGCCCGGCCCACTGGGCCCTCCTGGGACTAGGCCCAGGCTACTCTTCTGGACTGGACTTCTTCTGAATTCCCCCTCCTATCCCACAGGTCGATATTACAGCTCCTCTGGAGTGCATGCATCCTCTTCCACAAGCTGCTTTCCCCATATATTCCCATCATGCTGTTCTCCCCATCACTTCCTTTAAAAAGTCTACCCAGTGGGCTGGGTTCAGATGCCACCTCCTACACAAGGTCTTCCCTGAGCCTCTCAATCGATTTCTCTCCCTTAGTGACCCTTAATGCAGAAACCACCTACTTTGATAAGATGGCATTACACATCAGGAGTTAGAGAAAGAGAGGTAAAATTTTAGCAACATGACAGCTCATGGAGATGGTATTAGACAAACACTGGGACTTCTTTTGAGTGCCTCATCAGCACCTCCCCTGTCTGTCTTTTTTTTTCCTTACAGTTCTAAGGTTTACCCTTCCCTCTCCTATTGAATTTAATGAGATCTCCTCTCCCCGCGTGGCATCCAGGCCACCCTCCCCTGCCGACCACAAGGAGTTCTCAGAGGGGTTCACTCGTAAATTTTGTGTGTTAATTGCTGATGAGTGCTCCCCTCCCCCCTTCCCTGCAGACAGCGGTAAACAACCGGCTTTAAAAAAATTCCTGTGTCTGTAGACTTGACATTTACACCATCTTATAGCTTTGTCTGTTCACAATTCTGGCACACAGTACTGCTTGCCAGCCTTAGGATTTGCTGTGTGCTCCCCTGATGGATTGTATACTTCTCGGCAGTCCGTTCACTGGGTATACACAATCTATCTACTCCATGTACTTTGTACTTCACAGGTGCTTAATAAATGTTTGGCGAATGACAGCCCATGAGATCTAAATCTACAGGGGAAACACTCCA